GTATCACAGTATCACAAAATTGTGTAACGGGATCTTTAAAGTCACACTAACTTCAAACCACTAAACCCTCACTACTGTGGGCTCAAATCCCACCAGTGACTTCTGTGAGGAAGCTATTTAGCTATGGTAGTTATGGAAAGAAGATGGTTCTACTGTGGTGCCTAATAGTGTCTGAAATGAAAAAATGACATTTTTAAATACAGTTTTGTTACAGTCAGTATATGATAGGACAATCTTTATATCATGCAACCTGTAATGGTATAACCTGCTGAATTTATGTAATGGATTTGTTCTGCTTTGAATTTGGTACACTTTATTAAAGTTTCATAGGATTTCAGCATCAGAATATAAAAATTCAGCTACCAGCAATATATGGTCACACTGCAATGATTAGCTGCGCCACTTTCTGCTCCAATGGGTGAAGGGTTTGCATTTTTAATGCAATGAATAAATTTTGAAAACTTGCTTTTAGTAAAATTATTTACAGAAGTCAGTATCATTCAGAAGAGACTGTTCAGGGCAATTAATTTTATTATATACTTACAAATGAAATATTGAGAAATATTGATGAAATAAAATGTGTATTTTCATATTTTATATTTTCATTGTAAAAATTTATTTTTCACTACAGTGAAATATATTGTCTGTGCTTTCACTGGTGTCTTGCTTGACTGTTTCTTCTAAATTCAACCAATGCACAAAACAGAGGAAGTCTTTCGAATTGTAATGTCAAAAAAGAAAAATGTATTATTATAATAAACAGGAAATTCAATTTTTTTTGCTATATAAATACAGGATTTATTTTCATCATGTAGTATTACGATTATCATATTTCACTCACGGCTACTGCCACTGAGACTCATGAAATATTTATTACCGAAAATAAATCTTGTATTATTAGAAAAAACTTAAATATCCCCTACTTATGTACCATTTACTGTTGATTGAAAGTTTAATATTTGATTTTGTTAATTTTCTATGAACAGCATTTGAAGCCACATTTAATGCTTTTAGCTTTAACAGTATATTTTATTGATATGAGATAGCCTTTAAAAGTACACCGTTATAAATACACTTGTATTAATACTTTAAAATCTTTATATAATTTTCTGTACTCTCAGGTACATAATAGGACAGATTCTGGATATTAAATTACCTCCTTAGATTTCTGAGTCACAGTTTTCACAAAAGAAAGTATTGACTTTTATGTAAATTTTCATACGGGAAGTGAATATAATATTGAATAAATGCATGTTGTTTGTAAACATGCATGTCTCAAGTCATGCTACACGATACGCACATTTATCTTAATCTATTTGAAGCAAAATTTGTTTGCTGGCTATGTGGACCAAAAAATGATATAAAGCTCCTGGTATTCTAATTATAAATGCATTTTGTGTTTTGATAATGTATTTGAAACCTCACTACATATGATTAATCAATGATGTTTTAAAGCTGCAAGCCTCCAGATGAGCAAAAATATTTCGATAAAATCAAACCTGAGAAATATGTAAGATTTTAGGAAATGTATAAAGATTCAAAATTCTAGTAATAATTTACATGTTATGTGCGATTAATGACCAATTTTTCAGTATTTATAACTTTATATCTACTTCATTACTAACACAGTAAGTGCTATTTTTGCATATTTTGACCTCTTTATGGTAATTGTCCCCCGCCTTTTCGAAGAAAAAAGGGGGATATAGAAATAGGCTCCGTCCGTCTGTCTGTCCGTCCGTCCGTCCGTCTGTCCGTCCGTCACACTTTCGTGTCCGGTCCATAACTTTGTCATTTATGAAAGGAATTTGAAATAACTTGGCACAAATGTTTATTATAATAAGACGATGTGTCATGCGCAACAACCAGACCCCTACCTCCAGGGTCAAGGTCACACTTGCTCATTCAAGGTCAAAATTGCCTATTTGAGGGTATATGTCGTGTCCGGTCCATAACTTTCTTATCTATGAAGGGATTTTGTAAATACTTGCCATAATTGTTCACAATAATCAGACAATGTGTCATGCGCAAAAACCAGTCACCTACCTTCAAGGTCAAGGTCACACTTGGAGGTCAAATATTAACATAGTCTGTTACAGGGTATATTTCGTGTCCGGTCCATAACTTTCTTATCTATGAAGGGATTTTGTAAATACTTGCCATAATTGTTCACAATTATCAGACGATGTGTCATGCGGAAAAAGCAGTCACCTACCTTCAAGGTCAAGGTCACACTTGGAGGTCAAATATTAACATATTCTGTTACAGGGTATATTTCGTGTCCGGTCCATAACTTTCTTATCTATGAAGGGTTTTTGTAAATACTTGCCATAATTGTTCATAATAATCAGACGATGTGTCATGCGCAAAAACCAGTTGCCTACCTTCAACGTCAAGGTCACACTTGGAGGTCAAATATTAACATAGTCTGTTACAGGGTATATTTCGTGTCCGGTCCATAACTTTATCATTTATCAAAGGAATTTGAGATAACTTGGCACAAATGTTTGTTATAATAAGACGATGTGTCATGCGCAACAACCAGACCCGTACCTTCAGGGTCAAGGTCGTACTTGTTCATTCAAGGTCAACATTGTCTATTTGAGGGTATATGTCGTGTCCAGTCCATAACTTTCTTATCTATGAAGGACTTTTGTAAATACTTGCCATAATTGTTAACAATAATCAGATGATGTGTCATGCGCAAAAACCGGTCACCTACCTCCAAGGTCAAGGTCACACTTGGAGGTCAAATACTTACATAGTCTGTTACAGGGTATATTTTGTGTCAGGTCTATAATTTTTCATAGATCAAAGGATTGTGAAAATACTTCGCACAAAATAGTCACTATAATAAGAGGATGTGTCATGCGCAACACCTGCATCCCTACCTCCAAGGTCAAGGTCACACTTAGAGGTCAAAAATTAACATAGTCTGTTATAGGGTATATTTTGTGTTGAATCTAGAACTTCTTCATAGTTCAAGGGATTTTGAAATAACTTGGCACAAATAGTCACAATAATAAGACGTTATGTCATGCACAACACCTGCTCCTCTACCTCCAAGGTCAAGTTCACACTTAGAGGTCAAAGCTTAACATGATAGATTTTTAAATTCCGTGTTTCATTTTATTTTTTTAACAAATTTATTGTTACATTTGCAGATCTAGCATTGATCATAATTTTGGACTGAATGTCCTGAGGTCCATACCTCAATCTTTTGAAATAGCACAATTTTATGCTTCATATAAAACTCCCTGGGCGGGGGACGTTGGTAACTCTGTTACAAATTCTTGTTTACATGGGTTGTAAGTGCCATTGATAATGTGTAAATTGAATTCTTTTTGTAACTTCACAATATTACACTGTTAAATACATTTTAAAATTTTCATGAAAATTAGAATGAATCTGGAGGCGTGCTGCTTTAAAGGGGATGATAAGATTAAAAAAAATGTTTGTTTCATTTTTAGCTCACCTGTCACAAAGTGACAGGGTGAGCTTTTGTGATCGCTTTTCGTCCGGCGTCCGGCCGTTGTCTGTCCGTCCGTAAACTTTGCTTTAAATGACATCTCCTCATAAACCACTGAGCCAATTTCATCCAAACTTCACAGGAATGTTCCTTTGGTGGTCACCTTTATTTTGTTCAAAGAATTTAATTCCATGCAGAACTCTGGTTGCCATGGAAACCGAAAGAAAAATCTTTAATTATCTTCTTTTAAACAACCCTAAGAGCTAGAGCTTAGATATTTGGCATGAAACATCTTCTAATGAGTGTCTACCAAGTTTGTTCAAATAAAAGCCCTGGGGTCAAAATTGGCCCCGCCCCAGGGGGACATTGATTTTCCCTATATGCATATAGTAAAAACTTAAACAATCTTCTTTTAAAGAACCCAAAGAGCTAGAGCTAAGATATTTGGGATGAAACATCTTCTAGTGGGTGTCTACCAAGTTTGTTCAAATAAAAGCCCTGGGGTCAAAATTGGCCCCGCCCCGGGGGGTCATTGATTTTCCTTTATGCATATAGTAAAAACTTAAAAAATCTTCTTTTAAAGAACTGTAAGAGCTAGAGCTTAGATATTTGGCATGACACATCTTCTAGTGAATGTCTACCAAGTTTGTTCAAATAAAAGCCCTGAGGTCAAAACTGGCCCCGCCCCGGGGTTCATTGATTTTCTGTATATATGTATATAAAAAAAACACTTAAAAATCTTCTTTGAAAAAACCCAAATAGCTAGAGTTTAGAAATTAAGCATGAAACATCTTTAAGTAAATATCTACAAAGTTTGTTCAAATAAAAGCCCGGGGGTCAAAACTGGCCCTGCCCCAGGGGTGTCATTGTTTTTAACTATATGTGTATAGTAAAAACTTAAAAAATCTTCTTTTAAAAAACCCAATGAGCTAGAACTTAGATGTTTAGCATGAAACATCTTCTTATGGGTGTCTACCAAGTCTGTTCAAATAAACAAATAAAAGCCCTTGGGTAAAAATTGGCCCGGAGGGGTGGTGGGGGGCTATATACAGGTGAGCGACCTCAGGGCCATCATGGCCCTCTTGTTTTTTTATGCCAGCGTCAGTTTAGTGGTTCTAAATTCTGTGTTTCCTTATGTTTTAACCTAATGGTAATCTGGTTTATACAGAATTTATTTCAGTTCGATTGTGTAGGAAGCTATATTAGCTTATATATACACTTTTTCGAATCCGTTTCTGGAACCAACCAGTACTGAGCAAGGAGTTTAAAGTGTCTTGCTCAAGGAAACAACAACTTGCCCCAGGCAGGGTTTGAACCAATGTGATCATTAGATTACTAGTAAGACACATTAACCACTCAGCCATGCAGCCACAACAGTATTTAAATAATGGATACAAAGCATGATTGATGGTTATCACCTGCAGAAAGTAGTGTTGAGTGTGAAATAATTTGTTATTAAAGTAGCATAATGTAAATAAAGTCGTATTTTGATGTCTAGGCCGACAATAAAATCAGTATTACATTGTTGTTTCAGTTTCCATTTAATGACAGCCATTCGCAGATGGTAATTCACTGGGCAGGACAAAACAGTGATGTCATATTGGCCCTTACAAAAGGTAGGATTGTAATTCTAAAGTACCTTTAAGGAAGAAGAAGTTCCAAAAAGGGAATGTATGATTTGTTACTCTGTTCACGGTAAAAGTGTGTAATGTTAATGTATTTAAGATATACTATGCTCATCTTTGAGTAAATGTCAAAATACATGTGTATTATGAGGAGATTACGATTTTTTTTCCATATTAAAACAAACCATTCAAACGAAAAACAGCTTTCCAGGTTCTAGTAGTAATTCTTCCAAAATATTTGTGAGCATGTAGTCAGTAACAAAATTACTACATGTAGATCATGAGTTATTAACAATAGATTGGTAAATACATATTGTTTATGTCTCTTTATTTCTACAAAAAACATCAAAATTTTACACTATAGGCCCTTGTGTCTCCTGTAGCCTCTACTTTGTTGTATCCTTGTTGCTGAGGGGTTGCATCCCTGCGTGATCAAAGAGGTGACTGAATGGGTTCGAATCACCTCAATTTATGCAACCCTTTAGCTCCAAGCAGGTGAGGTGGTTTCAACCCTTTGGTGTTGCTTTGATGTTTGTAACACCCGAGGTTAGCCAAAATCATCTTTCCTGTTTCGGTGCCATATGACCTATTCTATAAAACCAAACAAACAAATTTTCTGGTAAGTAATGAAACCGTAAAGGACTGCCTCAAAGTTATAACAAAAGGACTGCCTCAAAGTTATAACAGTATGTTTCATAAAACATTCTACATTAATTTAAACCCTGAAACTTAAAGAGTATGAACTGTTGTATATCCACTCTTTCACACTGAATATATGTTTTTTTCAGGCTCAGTAATTGGAAGACCGTTTTCCGCTGTTCATACAAGTAATGTGTTTGTGTCACATAATTATGGTCGAACATTTACGTCACTGAATGATAAACTGAAGTTGTTTGACGGAACGCAAGCGATTATATCACAGTTCTTCAATGCTCCTGCACTCAACAGCCATGTAAGTTTACATTCTGTACAATGTATCTTAAAATAAAGTGACCATTGCATCATGAATGCATGGCTGTGACCATTGCATCATTGAATCCATGGGGCAAACTTGTCTAGAATTATTCTAGAATTTTGGGATTTTCCTTCTTTCTTTTCCGGATACTATAAACACTCTTTCTTTGTGAAACTTTAACAGTTTTAGATAAAATTCAGGATTTTCAGAATTTTTTACGCCATTGCTTTAATCTTGTATTTTTTTTGGACAAAAATTATCCCTGTAGCATTATCTGTTTACAGCTTTATGAGATTCATTCTTTTGTTTGAGTTACCAGGTACATGTATTACCAATTTCCCACTTGATTACTTAATAAGCAGTGAGAGACAAATGACCATTAGTCACAATGTCCGAGATACGTTGTTGTGGAGAAATTTTGTCCCGCCTGAGAATCAAGCCAGCAAACCATGAAATACCCGGGATTACAAATTTGATGCTTTCCTTAGTGAGCTTAGTTAGCTGACAGACTGATCCTCGCAGATCAGTTTGTAACTATTAAAGTGGTTATTATTGGCCTTTGCTTGTGTATTATATTAAGGAAGTTAAAAAAACATTTTATATAGGTTATCTGTTTCTCTTAATGTGCATATAATTCTGCATCCATAAATTTAGAATCCTTTGAATGTTTTGCTATTTAATTGTAATAAGATATGAAAATTTGGAGTGTAATAATATTATGATTAGTATAATAACATGTTATATGCAACCAGGAAAACTAAAACCCCATGATTCATGAAGATATCCGTAACATTGCTGATATTTTTCTTAACAATACACACTGGTACAATTTGATGTAAATATTTAAAATTAAAATATGTTTGTAAAGTTTTGAAACCCTTTACCAATATCCAACTCATCTGAAGAAATCTTATTCACCAGTCAAATGAATCACTTCCCCCCAGACAGGGCATTGTCACCCTATCAATAGGTTAGAATAAGGCCCCATTCTCAATCCAAAAATAGCCTCTTTTTCCCCAATTAGAAAAACTAAAATTTAAATAAAATTCTCAACAGGCAGCCCAGAGAATCAAACTATTACTTCTTTTGAGAAAAAATTAACTGTTCTTAAATTGTTTCAAAAAAGAAGTGACAGGTTATATGATCATACACATGACAAAAAAGAAGTAAAAAACATAAGTGTCATGCATTTGGATAATATTTCAACTTTTTTTAAATTTCACTGTTTTACCAAAATGTTGAATACCGGTTATTTTTAGCTCACAGTGTCACAAAGTGACAGGGTGAGCTTTTGTGTTCGCTTTTCATCCGGCGTCCATCCATCCGTCCGTCGTCCGTCAGTCTGTAAACTTTTACTTTAAATGACATCTCCTCATAAACCACTAAGCCAATTTCATCCAAACTTCACAGGAATGTTCCTTTGGTGGTCACCTTTAAAAATTGTTCAAAGAATTTAATTCCATGCAGAACTCTGGTTGCCATGGCAACCGAAAGAAAAACTTTAAATATCTTCCTTTAAAAAGCCAGAGCTAGAGCTTAGATATTTGGCATATAACATAACATCTTCTTGGTGTCTACCAAGTTTGTTCAAATAAAAACCCTGGGGTCAAAATTGGCCCCACCCCAGGGGGGTCATTGATTTTCCCTATATGCATATAGTAAAAACTTAAAAAATCTTCTTTTAAAGAACCCAAAGAGCTAGAGCTTAGATATTTAGCATGAAACATCTTCTCATGAGTGTCTACCAAGTTTGTTCAAATAAAAGCCCTGGGGTTAAAATTGGCCCCGCCCCGGGGGTCATTGATTTTCCCTATATGCATATAGTAAAAACTTAAAAAATCTTCTTTTAAAGAACTCAAAGAGCTAGAGCTAAGATATTTAGCGTGAAACATGTTTTAATGGGTGTCTACCAAGTTTGTTCTAATAAAAGCCCTGGGGTCAAAATTGGCCCCGCCCCAGGGGGTCATTGATTTTCCCTCTATGCATATAGTGAAAACTTAAAAAATCTTCTTTTAAAGAACTCAAAGAGTTAGAGCTAAGATATTTAGCATGAAACATGTTCTTATGGGTGTCTACCAAGTTTGTTCAAATAAAAGCCCTGGGGTCAATATTGGCCCCGCCCCGGGGTTCATTGATTTTCCTTATATGTGTATAGCAAAAACTTCATAAATCTTCTGTGAAAAAACCCAAATAGCTAGAGTTTAGATATTAAGCATGAAACATCTTCTAGTAAGTGTCTACAAAGTTTGTTCAAATAAAAGCCCTGGGGTCAAAATTGGCCCCGCTCCGGGGGTCATTGATTTTCCTTAAATGTGTATAGTTAAAACTTAAAAAATCTTCTTTGAAAAAATCCAAATAGCAACTGTTTAGATATTAAGCAAGAAACATCTTCTGCTAAGTGTCTACATAGTTTGTTCAAATAAAAGCCCTGGGGTCAAAATTGACCCCGCCCCAGGGGTGTCATTGTTTTTAACTATATGTGTATAGTAAAAACTTAAAAAATCTTCTTTTAAAAAACTCAATGAGCTAGAGCTTAGATGTTAAGCATGAAACATCTTCTTATAGGTGTCTACCAAGTTTGTTGAAATAAAAGCCCTTGGGGTAAAATTAGCCCTGCCAGGGGGACGGAGTTCATTGTTTTTCATTATATGTGTATAGTAAAAACTTAACATCATGAAACATCTTCTAATGAGTGTCTTCCAAGTTTGTTCAAATAAAAGCCCTGGGGTTTAAACTTGCCTCGCTCCGGGGGCCTATATACAGGTGAGCGACCTCAGGGCCATCATGGCCCTCTTGTTCATATGTTGAATACCAGTTATGTTTCATAATTTATGCCAGGGACCTTTTCCCAAAAATAGCTGGAAAAGGCCCTGCAGAAGTGAGGTAAGGTTCAATAACTGAAAAGCTTTCAGAAAAGATTATTTTGTCAACAGTTGCCACTTTTCATGCCATAGTGAAACTAGAGCTAGAAAAAAATCTACCATGAAACCCTGTGACATGTCTCAAAATTCATTTCAAATTCAAATTGGCATGGGTTTAAAATTTTTGAAATCTTGCTCTAATGTTACAAAATCTTGCAAAAAAATGAAGTTTAAGTAGTATTTAATCTAAAGGATAGCTGATAACTTTACTGCATTTTAATAACAGACCTCTATGTTTTATCTATGGATAGCTGCACCCTGTACCCTGCATATACCAAACTATGTGTCTAACAGTTTGCAGGTAAAATACATCCTGTTTCATTTTGATAAAACCAAAATAAAATACTGACAATGGTAAAAAGGGATAAAAAGATCCCATTTTATTTTTTTTTTTACTAATGTAAACATTTAGCAATGTGTGGTTACCATGCTTGAAATAATTTTTAAGTTATAATTGATTTTCAGTGTATGCATCAATATGACAATACCAGTTATTGTATATGTGGTTAATGTTGCGATGTGGAAATATTTGTGATTTTTGCGAATTGAAATATTTTGCAAATATTTCATCACGCAAAAATTATTTCTTTTTAGGCAAACTTGTTTCTATCATTTGAAAATATTTTTCATACAGCATCTTACATCTTAGATAATAGAGAACAAGATCTACACTTTCAAGGTCAAGGTCTCTTATCAATTTGCTTTCCATTACCACACCCTACACAATCAATAGGGTATATGAAGTACATGTATTTAGTCGTTCAGTTAGCTCAATAGGTAAAGCATTGGACTGTGAATCTGGTGATCCGGGTTTAATTCCTGGAAGGTGCAAGTCACATTCCTTGTAATTGATCATGAAATCCTTCCTACGCTTATTCGCATTGTACCTCTGCTCTGGCATGTACAGAAGTTATTAGTTCCTTGCAAAAGTGAAGGCAACTAGTACTGGTAAACTGCTTGACAGCCTGTCCAGGAACAATGCGGTACTGGAACTGTGTTCTGGTAATTTCAATGTGGCTTACTGCAGTGATCCTGAGTGAAAACTATCACCACCAGCTCCTAAGGTCATGCAGATTTGTTTTAAAGGTTCAGTGAGAGATAACGAGTCTTACATCATTTTATTTTATGCTATATTTCAGTACTTGTTCACTGACGAGACCAACAAATACGTGTTCACGACTCGAGATTATGGAAAGACTATATCAAGACAAAGAGTTTATTTTAAACCAACGAAAATGTTGTTTCACAAAACAAATTTCAGCCTTTTGCTCGGATGGGACGACAGTGAGACGAGAAATGGGGACGTATGTATCTATTAGATCAGTTTTATTCATACAGTCAAAATGTCAAAACCTGAAACTAGTCTTATGACATGCAAAAAGTCATTTAATGTAAGTAAAAATAATGTAGTGTTGATTTTTTAGCTCACCTGAGCACAACATGTCCATTACTAAAATTGTTCTGGTCTGCTGAACAAGATGGCTGCCAGAACTAAAAATATAAAAAACATTTATCAATGTTTGTTGGAACCATCTACTCAGGTGAGCCATTATGGGCCCTTATGACCCTCTTGTTTAATTAAGAAATATATCTTTAGTTTAGAATTAGGAAATTCTTACTTTTGAATTTATTTAAATGAGTTATTTTTACACAATAAAGATATTCATACATTGCCTTTCATTTCAGATGATAATAATGTACATAAATGTCTTTTACTAGTTTAGATGGGGAAATTCTATCTATATAATATTTACCATAATTGTTCTATTATAGTTATACATGTCTAGTAATTTTGGTGAGACTTGGCACACCATACAGTCCAGTGTCAAAGCTGTTTTCTGGTAAGTTTATTTTGTGTTTTATATCATATGTCACTTTTCGTGTTAACCTTTTGAATGTTTCAGTTATGAAAAAGCAAGAACAAAAAACAGTCAGACTTTTTCAATTCCAAGGCAACATAGAATAATAACTATGATAAAAGTGTTGTACATTCATGTACATTTTTTTGATTTTAAAAATCCTAGTTTTGTTCATTTTCCTTGTAAAGTGAGAGAAAAAAACCCTGGGATCAGTAATGTGTACTGAAAAGTACTTATATAAAAAATAATATATAAATACATGTATTAAATATTTTATTTTTTGTATTTCAGGGAGGACGATAAGTATGGTTTAAACTCATCATGTATCTACATATTACGAGAAAGCAATAATGAAGGTCTTGGCACAATAATCAGAAGCTGTGATTTCTTCACGTTAGATGAGATTGAACTATTGACAGCAGTTCATGATTTTGAAATCCAAGGCCCATACATGTTTGCTACAAGAAAACTGGTGAGATTTTCTTCATTTGTAGCCATTAGATAAATAAGATAAGATCTTCTCATGAAATCTAAAAGCTAAATTCAACATTTGATTTTCAAATATTGAAACCTAAGTAAATTTCTTTCTAGAAAATGAGAATCTGAGTATGTATTTGTTTTTAATCTGTAGGTTTAATCAGTCGTGTACACGCATTTTTACACTTCATAATTTCAACAGAATTGGATCAAGTATGATACAAAAACTGTTGTTTCACAGTTAATGCTCCAGATGATGCATTGTATCTTGATTATAATCATTATTGTAAAAACGTTTATTATAAAATGTTAAAGACAATTCACTTCACAGAATAGATTTTAATCAAATTACTTACACTTTGTAAGCTTGAATGCACATGGCACCTGATGTCCCTTTTGACAAGTAAAGCTCTTTATTTGTGAAACATGGACATTAAGCTATACAAGAAGCAAGTCCATACTGGATTGGGAAAGCTATGTTTTGTACCTAAACGGGCAGACCCTTATTAAACTAACAATAAGCTGTACATCCAATGCTCAATAAAAAAATTGTATATTCTGTTTTAAAATGTTGCTTGTTAAAAAATTCTAAAAATAGCACTTCATTTACTGTGTATTTCCTTTTGAACTATCATTTCTTTGTCATTTATGTGACTGATAAGCTATGACAGGAATTGCATTCATCTAAGTTTAAAGCTGCATGCCTCCAGATCAGCCAAAATCTTACAAGAAGATCAGTCTTGAGAAATATGCAATAAGATGTTATACAAATCTTAAACAATAGTTCTTTTTTTAATTTTCAGAGATTGCTAGGTGGCACCGGTTATACTCATCAGATCTATGTTTCATACTATAGAGGGCGCTTCATCAACTCCATGTTTCCACATGATTTATCTCATTTGGTAAGAGCAAGCATTTTATTATTATTTTTCTTTTTTTTTTTTTAAATTTTACTTACCGTACGTTCACAGTTATAAGACGCAGTTTTGGTCATGAATATTTTACTAAAAAGTTATAAGTGCGTCTTATAAGCGCTGAGTGGTATCGGAAAAAAATCTTCAAGAAATTATGCATCTGGTGAATTTTTAGATCATAGATACTCATTCCCAGTCACAAGCTAAACTCAGGTGCCGGTTCGTGCCTAAAATAATGTACTGAAGGGCACCTGAGGTCTTCCTCCACCAGTAAAGCTGGAACGTCGCGATTTGACCTATACTGTGTCGATGTGACGTTAAACCCGAAACAAAGAAACAAAAACAAGCTTAACTCATTAGAATTACTTATAGTCGGCAAAAATCACAGGTGTAAGCTTCTAGTTTAGAGCTAAGATAGCCTGCACTTTAGTAGGACCAGACTGCTGAATTTTGATTATGAAAAACTCCTAAATTAAAAAAAATTACATATTTCAAATTCGTAATACTATTTCTTTTTGCCTACATTATATGTTATCAGATTAATTAGTATAAAAGATGACACTGTATTGTTTAAAGATGTTATAATATCAACTGTGCTTTATTTCAACACTTTCATAGTTAATATATAGCAAATGGTTATTGAATTGTGGCCTTCAAACTATTTCAATTGAAGGAATTGAAGTGTGGCTAAATTGATATTTTTGGACAAATTCTTGCTGATAGTCATTCAGATTGTTTAAAGCCTGATAAGGACTTTGTAGATTTTTTTTTATCAGGTAACATTAAAATATCATGTACAAAGTATACATATCAATAAACACACTAAAGTTTTTTTCCAAACATGCAGTTTTTAAAAGTATTTATTAAGAGATGTACATTGTATTAAAATGGTAAACTTGAAATGTTTAGAACATCCTCACTTTCAACAGTTTTGTTGGTGTATGTTTGGACAGCATGAAAGCAGAATAGTGGGAAGGATGTATGACGGAAAATCTGTAGCCCCACAACAGAGGGCATAAAATTGAAAATTCCCCATCAGTTTATAAATAACGTATTGTTTGAGAGATGAGTTGTGATTGCCAAAAATGTGCATCATTTGCAGAAAAAGTTAGCCATGAGAGTTTCATGAATATACAATATTTTTTTTTTTATTATATACTAAACAATGTGATACTAAACTTTGAATGAAAAGCGTGCCAAATAATAATACAACATGACGTCATTTAAGACGTCACGTCATTATGTTGGTACCCAGTACTGTGCACGCTGGTATTTCACTGAAACAACAAAAGGGGCTTAAATTAAAAACAGTGAAATTATCAAAGTGGTAATTTCACTGTTTCAAACAGTGAAATTACCAGTTTTATATCACTGATATATTTCTATAAACCACGGAAAAGCATGTAATAAAATAGTATAAATCATCTGTTTCAGGATTATTATGTAGCAGACGCATCAGAGGATCAGATATTTATGTGCGTGAATCATGATGAGAAAACGACACATCTTTACATCTCAAATGTGAACGGTACCAAGTTTAGTCAGTCACTAGAAGATGTCCTCTGTTTTAACCCCAATGGTTCAAACAAAAACAGCTGGCTAAGGTACATTGTTCATATTTATTTCATAAACATGTATAGAAATATCTTATAATGGTAACTTATAGTGATTTTATTTTGTTTGATACTGACCCAGAATTTCGGCCTCTTCACAAACGCAAAAAAAAAAAAAAAAAAAAAAGTCACAGAAATGTGAAGAAAATTCAAGAAAATTTAAAGAGTGGGATTTTTTTTTCGGTACCTAGCAAAGTATTGAACTGACAAATGACAATTTTGAGAATTTGGTTGATACGTTTAAGGAAATAAAAAGAAGAAGGTATAAATTATAAACATAATCATTAGATTTAGGTATAAAGTGAAAACAGGTGATGATATATTTCAAATTTTGAAATATAAATGTATATATGATTATTGTGGCAAAAATTCACAATTTCAGGGGATGGGCAGTAGCGAAAAAAGTAAAAAAAATATTGCGGTAACGGAATGGACATAATATCATTAGCCTCTTTTTAAACAGGACAAAGAAGTAATAAAAAACATTGGAAATCAGTTTCTTACAAAATCAAAAGATAAAAATTTACAAAGGTTAAAGCTAATTTGATTTAATTCATTTGTTTGGACTTAAAATTTACAAGTAATGGCCCTGTTTTGCAGGATATGATTTCGAACAGGCGCAAGTCTAATGATGTGTGTTTAGCATGCTTTCATGTGTATAGGTAAAGTCATTGCATTCATCTGTTTAATATTTCAAACAGGTTTTACATGGACAAACCATTCGCAGATCTACATAAAGTGGCCGGGATGCGTGGTGTCTACATAGCAACGCAGCTTATCAACAAAACTCTCTCATCTACCCACCAGAGGTCCCTTATTTCCTACGATAAGGGTGGAGAGTGGCAGCGGATTGTGGCGCCCCCTAAGGACATTAATAATAGACCTACGAATTGTTCTGTGGTACGTAAGATTTTTAGATATATTTTTTATAATGTACAAGTATATAGGTCTACTAACCGTATATATTACTAATTTCTGCATATGCATTCAAATTATAACGGTCGTTCATTAACCTTTTTGCTTTATGAATATGGTGTATTTTGCATTAGCATATCTTTTCCTTAGGAGATAGATGCTTTTTGTCAGTAAAAAAAATATAAAGATAAAGTAAAACCTTCACATAAATTATATGGAAAAAAATAAACAAAGTTAGATAAAAAAAAAATTTTTTTCCAAACTTGATGCAAAATTGTAATGAAAATGTCAAAATACAGGGACTCTGTTATGGGCAAAAGTGGGCAAACCACTGCTTCAAATATTCTTACTCTGTATTTGAATAGAAACTCAAAATAATACATTCCCAAAAATCTCTGTGTAAATATCTGACATGTATATTTTCACTTCTCGATAAAACTACCTGGAGTCAGGTTTAGTTATATGAGCCGTGTCAGGACAAAACCAACATAATGGGTTTGCGACCAGCATGGATCAAGACCAGCCTGCGCATCCGCGCAGTCTGATCAGGATCCATGCTGTTCGCTTACAAACCCTATTACAAGTAGACAAACTGATAGCGAACAGCATGGATGCTGATCAGACTGCGCGGATGCGCAGGCTGGTCTGGATCCATGCTGGTCACAAACCCATTATGTTGGTTTTGTCGTGACACGGCTCAATTATGTTTTATCTGAAGTAATTAGCACGCATTCTGAAGTGTTGCCAATGCACCACTTGACAACTATCAAAACATCACAAGAAATAGCTTACTCGTACTTCGTTTTCTTAAAGGAGCTCCACTGAGGTCCAAAAAAAGCCTAAAATATAAAATTTGAATTTGTTTCATAGATCAGGAGGGAGCACTTAAAGCAATATGATATGCAAAAGATATTTAAGAAATATACCATGAAATAAATTAAAAAATTAAAAATTGTATTTTAATGCTTTTTTTAGTCTGATTTGTGTGAAAAGCATTGCAACGTTTTTCAATTTTGGGTAATTTTTCACAATTAAAATAATTATTCTGGAAAAAAAGGGGTGTGATCTGAAGAGTGACTGATTTGAAATTTTGCACACAAGTTATTGGTCTAGACCCTTCAACAAATGGAACATTAATCTTGAAAAATTATTTTAGTCCAGTCATGTCAAAAATCCTCAGTGGAGTCCCTTATAAGACAGATATAATTCTCTTTAACATGGTACTGTTTAGAGGGATGGATAAACTAGTCCTCTGGGCAGTTGAATGGTAAGAAATGTATTGTAACCCTATATTTTCTTATTTAGTTCATCATACAGATTACAAAATAATATTTTTGTATATATATTTTTCTCTGATGCAGCAAAAGGATGCATACAAAGTTAATGAGGTAATTTTATTATAGTGTTTGCCAGTTTCCCAGACAATGGCCTTCATATGACTTTAAGTTCTTGCATGCTCTTATTTTGATTTCTTTTCCTTGTGTACATTTGTTTCCTTTGGTACAACAAAAACAGTGAATATACAAACACAGATTGGATTATAGATATATCTAATGAAAATATGCAAGAATTAGGTTTATTGTTTTGTGTGTTTTTTTAACAGTTTTGAGCTTTCTCATAGATGCTTTCTTAATTATGTTTTTTTGTGTTACTGTATATTAAAATACAATCATTGCCCATAGATAACAATAAAGATATTGAATATTCATGCTTATAGACTGACTGCAATTTTTCTGATGTCATTTTATTTTATTTTTTCTAACTCTTTGCTTTATTGTGTAGAAATACACCTTATTGCTTTGTTTCTTTGATAAGAAAAAAGTGTGAAGTGTGATAGAATATAGAATAATCCATGAATTAAGAATAATCAATTAACTCATTCTGTATTTGATTTTTCCTTTGCTTCATTTAAGTGAAGTTGGGTTTTTAGCGTGAAATAGGGTAATTCAGTATAACTCCTCAATTGTATCTTATTAAAATTGAGCCGCGTCACGACAAAACCAACATAATGGGTTTGCGACCAGCATGGATCCAGACCAGCCTGCGCATCCGCGCAGTCTGATCAGGATCCATGCTGGTCGCTTACCAACCCTATTACAAGTAGAGAAACTGATAGCGAACAGCATGGATCCTGATCAGACTGCGTGGATGCGCAGGCTGGTCTGGATCCATGCTGGTCGCAAACCCATTATGTTGGTTTTGTCGTGACACGGCTCATATTCTATCTGGCCTGAGTTGCATGTCAGTGGGAAAGTTGGTTATAAGTGTAGAATATGTTAATAAATGTACTGAGTAAAACCAATAAAAATTTAGATTAGGGGTTCATTTAACTCATTACAGTGTTGGAGCAATACCTCTAGATGCTTGCAGAAATCTTGATCATAAAGTAGAAAAATATCGCTTTTTCACTGATTCTTGCATATTTCATTGACTGTATATTTAAGTTGGTGAGAAGAGATGAATTAGGGGTCTTAAAGTGTATTTCGGCCGGTGGAAAGGCAAGATTTAAGCATTTAATCATTCAAGCGCATTTTCCGGTATATCCTGGGAATACTGTATTTTAAGTATGGTGCTCCAACACTTTTGTTAAACTCACTCATCAAAAAACATATCATATTTTATTTCCTTTCTCTGTATTGACGGGAAAGTTGGTTGTTCATGTAAAGTAGGGTTACTGAAAATTATCAGCCTTTGTAAATTAAATTTGAGGCGAACTGGATGAGACTATTCAGTCATGCAAGCTTTGATCTGTTTCTTTTGAAAATCTGTGCGAGCTGTTTCTACATAGAATATAATTATAAAATCTATTGTAGTTCCTTTGAAACAGAATTTTAGATTTTAATTTGAAATGAACCTTACTCATATTAATAATTTTAGAATTAGAATTTTAGACATAGTTTTAGATGTTAGATATTATTTTAATCAAATTTACTATTCTTTCTGAATGTTCATTTCTTTTGTTGTTTTTGTGTTGTTTTTTAAAATGATTTATCTTTAATTTGGTAAAAGACTACTGTATGTCTACTTTTTAAGAAAAAATTGTATGCAGTAAAAGTTTCAGATTGGCTGCACATATCTAGGGTTGTATTATTCTAGGTGAATATATTTATTCCATAATGAATACATGAAGAAAATTCATTTCAGCTCCTTCTTTTTGTAAAAATATTTCTGCCTTTTTTAAACAGATTTTTAGTGTGAATTAATAAGGAGGCTCCTACAGACATACAAAAAATGAAAAAGATTTTGTTTAGATATTTTTATTTTAATGTTTTCATATGTATGCATTGATTGATGAATATTTCAGTATGAATCTTGTTTTGTAAATATAATAATATTTTATAAGGAAACTAAGTTTAGGATGTTTAAATAAGAAACTAAAACCATTTTTGTAACATTTGTTGTCATCTTTTTATATTTATCATCACAGTCCAACAACTGCTCCCTACATGTAACTCAGACCTTCAACCGTCTGTACGCAGCAAGTAGAGCAACTCCAATACTATCGAAGGAATCGGCACCGGGTATCATCTTGGCAACGGGAAATTATGGAAGTCGTATACATATTGATGAAGATGTTAGTGTGTTCTTGTCAACAGACGCAGGCTTTGAGTGGCATCAGGTTTGTATTGTATGCTTATATGTAATGTTTGTACTTAAAAGCCCATTATGCCTCTGAAAAGCTTTTATATTTTATTTCCTGAAAGATTCTTATTTTTGTTGTTCTGTTATAGTTTCCAGAAAGTTACTCATTGGACAATTACCTGAACCCTCTTTGGCTTCTGTTTCTCTTTTGCAGTCAGTACACAAGTATTGATATATTAGTATTTTGTATGTAAGTGAAAATACACTAGAGCCTTGTTATAGTGCTCATTTGGGGTCCATGATCTCAAGACCGCATTGTAACAGGTAACCGTTTACAATGCTCATCGTATAATTACTGAGAAATTATCGCATTACCCCACCCACTGCCAAAACTTATAACCCTTGTTAGGTGATAAGCATCTGATATGCTCTAAAACCATTACTTAACCTTTTCCCTCATATAGACATGTTTTCACGGCTTTTTGCCCCCACCCGCCCCCCTTTTTGAGACCTCAAACAGTGAAAAAATGCCCTATTTAGACCCCAAACACTGTTTTTCATTTGAGAAATGTTGTTAAAAAAAGTGACCACTTTTTCGACATGGCCCCCCCATCAAAATGGTGCATCATGGGGTCGCGTGAAGGGGAATGTGCCCCCTTCTGTTTGGCCTCATTGCCAAGAAAGTTTTGGACATGTGACGGGCTAAAAATAGCCTCAGGTCTATCTTAAGGTAACTAGTAACCTACGCAGAAAATCCTTTTACTCTATCTTAATTCATTGAGAAGTTGCAGCAATCAGTTTTTTGAAATCAGTTTTGCTGGAAAAAAAACAATGCAAAATAGTGTTTTTTTGCAATTTTGAGAGGTCCCCCCATTGCCATGGTAACAGAAAATTTATGATTGAGCATAATGTTACAGAGGCTATGGTCCAGACAACATGTTTCATTAGTATTGAAGCATTTTTAGCTCACCTTGCACAAAGTGCAGGTGAGCTTTTAGGATGGCCAACCAAATGAGTCCGTCGTCCGGTGTCCGTCCACATTTTATTCAGACGACATCTTCTACAATACCACTTGGCCAATATTAATGAAACTTGGCAGGAATACTCATTGTATGAAGCTCTATCAAGATTGTTCAAAGAATGCTATTCCATGCTAAACTCTGGTTGCTATGGCAACTAAAAGAAAAAACTTAAAAGTTCTTATACTTCAAAATGGAAAGGGCTAGAGCTTAGATATTTCTCACAAGGCATTAGCTTGTTAGTTCCTACAAAGTATATTCAAATTATGGTCTAAAGCTGAAAATTGGTCTCTATTTTGGGAGTTAAAGGGGTTTTTTATTGCAAAGTTATATAGACTTTCTTTGTAGGGATAAATTGAGACAGTGTATCTTGTATTTTTTGTCTCAACAGACATTGTTATGAAGATTTTTCTTTTAAAGCATAAGAAGGATGAAAAGTTTGTTGAATGTGGATGTTAATTCAAAACAGAGTCGATCAGAATAGCACAAATTTGAGAGCTACAGTGAAGTTGATTTCCCCATTCAATAATGGATTTTTCCATTAATTTCGTAATATCATCAGAAAGGAGGACTGTGTCATTTCCGAAATACAATGTAAAATATTTTGGTTCTTGACAATGACTTGCACATTTTATTGTGTATGAAATTGCACAATGAAACGAAAGTGAACAAAAAATGTTGTTTTTTTCCACAAAAATTAGTTGATTAAGATAAAAGTTTAATTTACAGTACGGATATTACATTTTATATCCTTCCGGTTTGCGGGAAAAATCATATAGCAGCTAGCTACACCGCACCTACTGATGAACGAATTATGTCATAATATTTCATTCTGAGAACAAACATACGATTCGAATCATCAAATAATGCATATCAAATCAAATCAAACCAGCAATTTTGCCTCAGAAAACATCTGTATCAATCTGACCTCGAGTTGAGATTATAAATTATACTAAACCGGAAGTACATGACGAAACGTCCGCCGATCAAGAAAATTGAGAAATTTTGTAACATAAACTCGTATTTCACAACAAAGAAGTGAAGATGAATACAATTATTGGTGTGCTTCGTTGAAACAGGTATTTTGTTAACTATTTGTTAAGTATTAAGGCATGACATTCTGTATTTATGTAAATATCACCTCCCGACGTCCCGTGTTATGATTTATAAAATTATACATGTACACATGTGTTATTGACCTCAATAAATGTTAGTGAAAATGGAAAAATAATTATGGTTATTATCCATGGTGCTAGTAATACTTAATTATCTTTATCATTTTGTTAACTAAGCAAGAAAAATACGTAATTTTAAAATAACTTAACCTCACAATATTATCAGTTTATACTTGAAAATCTTCTCAAACAGTAATTTTTGAATTCATTATTGAAACATGAAGATGGTTCATGAAGAGATTAAAAGAGAAGAAAAAACTGAAATGACTCATGAAAATTTTGGTCAAACAGTCTGCCACTTGAAATTTTTACCTTCCTGAGATCCCTGCTAATTGTTGTTGTTCTTTTTTTTTTAGAAAGGGTGTTCTAAATTATGATAAACCACAGATGCTTGGGCCAACATGATACCCCTGAGTAAACACTATCAAAAATATTTTGATATTTAAACACTAATGGGATATCTGTTACAACTATAATACTGGTTTTCGAAAAAAAAAATCATATATGAAAAAATAAATACTGTTTACCATCCTGTATTGAGGCTTGATTCTTGGCAGGCAGGCGAATTGGTTGGGCTATTTTTCGTAACAGTTTTCTCAGCAACTACTTATCAGAGCCTCATGATATTTAGTATGCAGCATTAACACATTGTCCAATACCATGAGATTCGATTTAAGGTCTGTCGCTCATCCACTTCATGTTTACTGACTTAGTTAAATTCATAATAATGGTCAATGGTATGAATATTTCGTAACAATTTTCTCATTAGTTTAATTCATAATAATGGTCAATGGTATGAATTTTTTGTAACAATTTTCTCAGCAACTACTTATTACAGCCTCTTGATGTTTGGTATACAACATTGATATGATTTCAGGTATGTGGCTCATCCACTTTCAGTTTTCTGACCTAGTGAAATTTTCAGCATTAATTGTAAATGGAAGGAAATTTCCGTAACAGTTTTCTTAGCAACTACATATCACAGCCTCTTGAAATTTGGTATTGTGACTGCAAAGTTCAGGTCTATCGCTTATCTTCTTCCTGTTTACCAACTTAGTTAAATGTTCGATATGAATGGTCAATGGTAGGAAATTTTTGTAACATCACAGCCTCAGTAGTCATGTTATTTGGTATACAAATGCAACCCGGCCATTTTTGTCTTTGACCCATTTTTATTGAAGTATGATCCAAATTTGTACTTCGTCTTGTTTATGATGATGTCATTGTTAAAATTTTCATGATGTAAACACGCCACAGGGAGTGTATTTTTTAGCAACCTGTACATTAAAGAAAAGAAAAAAGAGGTATTTCTATACACTTGTTTGCATTCCTGTTGCTGTCGGCCAAAAAAACATAACATTTGACACTAACCTTTAAATGACATTAAAGAATTTTATAAACCTGTTGTTTTTTTTTTTAAAAAGAAAAATACTTTATAAGATCTATTCCTAAGGTGAGCGATATAGGGCCATCATGGCCCTCTTGTTCATAGTTTCATAGCAGTTTGAACTTGTAACAGAAGGCTTTTCAATTAAAATGGCCATTTTTCACAATATGCTCACGGGGTCAAAGGTTAATAACTAAAAAACTGTTGTTTTTTGAAGAAAAAAAATGTTTTTGTTTTTGAGGCATTATATGCCTTTAAAATGAAATACTGAATAAGTGGATATTTCCTTATTTCTCAAAGTTAGCGAATTGAAAATTCCAGATATTTTGCATGAGGAAATATAAGCAAATCATGCAAGGGTAGAATTTAATGACATGTTGGTTGATATTTACACTAGAGGACATTTTAAGGATTTTCATCAAATCGTGAAATTGGGTCGCTAACTTAAGCACTTATACAGTAATGCTCATTTCCTTGCTGTCCAGTGCAGTTGATAAGTAATCTTTTTTTTAAAGATTGGCAATTATCATGGTGATTAACCAATAATTGATAATGAAAATTGTGTATGATACAAAATAAAAACTACCTATTAAATTATAAAAAAAACTGCCCCACTCAAAAATAAAGAATTGAGTGTTACTGATACATTATAAACATTATTTATAGAAACAGACATATGCCTACCTCCCGAATACAGAGGATCTCCAAGACAAGACCTCCCAAATACCACAGCCCTCCAAGACAAAAACCCTGCTAAATACAAAAACCCTACCGAATACATTAAAGCCCTCCAAGACAAAAGCCCTTCTGAATACAAAATCCCTCCTGGAAGACAAAAGCCCTCTCATCAATAATGGCATAATGGACATAAGCCTTCAACAACTTTGATCTGGGAGAAGTTTTGATCTACACTTCTGCTGCATATTTGCAAATGTTGATGTGATTTGATATACCAACCAATAAAATTTGTTATATTTGTTTACAGGTTTTACAAGGGGTGCACTTCTTTGCATTAGCTGACCATGGAGGAATCATACTGGCAGTGAAACAATATGAACCAACCAATCAGATTAGGTGAGTGTTCTAAATATAGATACTTTTTGTGTCGCCTCTACGGAGTAGTGGCGACATATAGGGATCACTTCTCCGTCGTCTGTCTGTCTGTCCGCACAAACATTTTAGGTATATGAGCTAACTAATGGTACACTGGGACAAAAGAGAACAAAGGACTTCATTCCGTAAATAATAGTTAGCTCATAAGGAAACAATAGTTAGCCCACAAGGAAACAAAAGAAAAGAACAATAGAAATAGCTCAGAAACCTGAAAAATTGGTACGTCTGTCCGTCCGTCCGTCACAAAACTTGTCCGGACTACTTCTCATAAACTACTGGTGCAATTTCATTCAAACTTTACAGGAATTATCAGTACCAAGTCTAGTTGTGCATAATGTCAGCATTTTCCAGTTCAATGATTTTTGTCTGAGTTATGGCCCTTAAATAATTTTAATTTTTAAAGTTTGTCCGGACTACTTCTCTTATACGACTAATGCAATTTCAATGAAACTTTACAGGATTGATCTTTAGCTCAAGTCCTTGCGCATATTGCACGGGTTTTCCGGTTGAATGATTTTTGGCCGAGTTATGGCCCTTTGATAAAAAGTAGTTTTTTTCTGTGTGTTGCCAGATACACAAAAGCTTGTCTGGACTACTCCTCATAAACTACTGGTGCAATTTTATCCAAACTTTACAGGAATGATCAGTACCAAGTGTAGTTGTGCATATTGTCAGCATTTTCAGGTTCAATGATTTTGTCTGAGTTATGGCCCTTTAATAATTTTTATTTTTCAAGTTTGTCTACTTCTCTTATACCACTTATGCAATTTCAATGAAACTTTACAGAATTGATCTGTAGCTCAAGTCCTTGCGCATATTGCATGGGTTTTCCGGTTGAATGATTTTTGGCCGAGTTATGGCCCTTTTGATAAAAAGGTGTTTTTTCTGTGTGTTGCCAGTTAACAAAAGCTTGTCCGGACTACTCCTCATAAACTACTGGTGCAATTTTATCCAAACTTTACAGGAATGATCAGTACCAAGTCTAGTTGTGCACTGTCTGTCTGTCTGTCTGTCCGTCTGTCACAAAACTTGTCCCAACATGAAATTGGCCATCATGAGGCTACACATGTGATCACTGATCACTCTTGTTTAACTAGAGGACATTATCTCCCTTTGTCACCATATTGAGAATCAATGGCTTATTGTTTCAATTTTTTGTTGTTAAATTTCAGAAATTTTGTAGTCATTTTTCACCTTAATGCAATAACTGGTTAACTCCTTAAAATTTAGAAAGACTTAACCTGTTACTGCACTAAGGTGATGAATTTTGAATGTAGCATATTTAATGATTTGTTTAAATGAAAGAAATATTTAAAAAACTAAACCTCAAAAGTAATATTGTTAATTTATTTGTTAAACATTACTTTTTGAAATTTAGATTTTTCAACATGCTTCCTTTTGTTGATGTTTTGTACTGGTAAATTTCTGAAGACAAAATATTTATACCCCCGCACAACAAAGTTGTAAGGGGGGTATACTGGAAGCAGCTTGTCCGTCCGTCCGGCCGTCCGTCCGGCGGTTTTTTCTTGTCCGCCAAATAACTTAAGATTCCTTTGACCTACAATCTTCATATTTGGCATGGAGGTTAGTCATGATTAGTGGATGACCCTAATTGATTTTGAGGTCACCAGGTCAAAGGTCAAGGTCACAGGGGCCTTCACTTCAAAAAGCTTGTCCGCCCAATAACTTAAGATTCCTTTGACCCACAGACTTCATATTTGGCATGGAGGTAAGTCATGATTAGTAGATGACCCCTATTGATTTTGAGGTCACCAGGTCAAAGGTCAAGGTCACAGGGGCCTTCACTTCAAAAAGCTTGTCCGCCCAATAACTTAAGATTCCTTTGACCCATAGTCTTCATATTTGGCATGGAGGTTAGTCATGATTAGTAGATGACCCCTATTGATTTTGAGGTCACCAGGTCAAAGGTCAAGGTCACAGGGGCCTTCACTTCAAAAAGCTTGTCCGCCCAATAACTTAGATTCCTTTGACCCACAGTCTTCATATTTGGCATGGAGGCTAGTCATGATATGTAGATGACCCCTATTGACTTTGAGGTCACCAGGTCAAAGGTCAAGGTCACAGGGGCCTTGACTTCAAAAAGCATGTCCGTCCAATAACTTAAGATTCCTTTGACCCACAGTCTTCATATTTGGCATGGAGGTAAGTGATGATTAGTAGATGACCCCTATTGATTTTGAGGTCACCAGGTCAAAGGTCAAGGTCACAGGGGCCTTGACTTCAAAAAGCTTGTCCGCCAAATAACTTAAGATTCCTTTGACCCACAGTCTTCATATTTGGCATGGAGGCTAGTCATGATGAGTAGATGACCCCTATTGATTTTGAGGTCACCAGGTCAAAGGTCAAGGTCACAGGGGCCTTGACTTCAAAAAGCTTGTCCGCCCAATAACTTAAGATTCCTTTGACCCACAGTCTTCATATTTGGCATGGAGGCTAGTCATGATTAGTAGATGACCCCTATTGATTTTGAGGTTACCAGGTCAAAGGTCAAGGTCACAGGGGCCTTGACTTCAAAAAGCTTGTCCGCCCAATAACTTAAGATTCCTTTGACCCACAGTCTTCATATTTGGCATGGAGGTTAGTCATGATTAGTAGATGACCCCTATTGACTTTGAGGTCACCAGGTCAAAGATCAAGGTAACAGGGGCCTTGACTTCAAAAAGCTTGTCCGCCCTATAACTTAAGATTCCTTTGACCCACAGTCTTCATATTTGGCATGGAGGTTAGTCATGATAAGTAGATGACCCCTATTGATTTTGAGGTCACTGGATCAAAGGTCAAGGTCATAGGGACTTTGACTTCAAAAAGTTTGTCCACCCATTAACTTGAGATTCCTTTGACCCACAGTCTTCTTATTTGGCATGGATGTTGATCATGACTATAAGGTGACCCCTATTGATTTGAGGTCACTGGGGTCAAAGGTCAAGGTCACAGGGACTTTGACAAAAGCTTTTCTTCTCAATTGCTAAAGAATGTCCTGTCCGCAATGTATTGATTTTGACATTTTCACATTTGAAAGCATGTAGAATACATAACTTAGCAATGCACTGGCTTTAGTAACCTCAGATTTGGCAGGGAGGTTTTCCTTGAGCTCTTAATGGCCACTGTTGATTATGACAAAGTGGTATGCGGGGGTATTCACACCATGATAGTGGCAGTTCTAGTTTACAATAACTGTTTGAATGTTTAATGTTTCATATCAACCAGCTCAGGTCATTAGTTTCAATAGCATGCATGTACAATGTAACCTGTAAAAGCTCTTTTTAATTTAATGTTTAATTCCAGATATTATGATTTTTTTCAGTTACTCGACAGATGAAGGGCAAGTTTTTCACACATACAACTTCACTGATCACCCTATACAGATTCATGGTTTACTTACAGAACCAGGGGAGAAAACTACAGTCTTCTTTTTATTTGGTTCAAACCTCGATCATCATTCATGGATAGTTATCTCCCTTAATTTGAGCTCAGTTTTCCGTAAGTAAAATAAGTGAACTTTAACAAATTACTGTTTTTCCCCACTTTGTCATATTTATTTAATTTTGCATAATTTTACAGGTAAAATGATTATGGTCCAAAAAAAATATCCAAGATTTTTTTTCATTTCATGGGTAACACAACCATTAAGGTCAAATAGAACTATGATACTGGTATCGAAGCAGTTTCCGATAAAAATATGAGGTTATTGAAAAATTTCTCAATAACAACGTCTCCAATTTAAATAAACTTTTGATATGACTAAATACAGGTCATGCATTGTTATTGTAAATAAAAACTGGATTCCTGAATAAGACATGCGCATCAAAATTGGGGCTCCAACAGGAGGTGTAAATTAGCCGTAATTGCCTCGCTACAGAAGCAGTTTCCGACACTTTTTTTTAATCATTGATTTTGCGGGTTTATAAATCGGTATCGATGCTGTTGTTATAATAAGACTTTTTGAAGGCCTCTTTAGACAAATAATATTGCTTTATTTAGGGTTTTAATCGTAATAATTCAGAAATCGTGGTAGACTTAATATGACATCTGCAGTGATTTTTACCGAGATTATTATCAGACTGGTTCCGGCGCACTGACCGGTACTGAACAATCAAGCAAGCCATTCACGTAACCGACAATAAATATAGAAAATATTCACTGGTTAGTTTATTGACATTGACAAATAATTAATTAAATCATCATTCTATTTCGGCTTCTTATTTATAATTTTCCTCTGATTTAGGCAAAAATGCTAAATTTCATCTCGCCAATTTTATTGGTATTGGTATATCGGTACTGCAGTACATATTATATGTAAACTGAAATTTAAGAAAGGGACACAGTTTATATATTGAAGGAAAAGTTGTTATCTGCCTTACAACTTCATCCAAAAATATTTGCAAAAATATAACATAAAAATATTCATACCTGTTTAAACTAGGAGATCCTATTTAACTACATGTAGTTCCGAAGCATGTATTTTTAATGACAGGATTTCTGTCAATGAACACTTTTCTATGTGTTCTCATCAGAAATAAAATGTTATTTGATATTGGAATTTATGAAAGAGTGTGTAAAAAAAGTGTGCCAACAACTTTGTTGAGATAAACATATTTTGAAATAAAAGCATAATCATTTATTTAAAAAGCGCCAACTGTTTAAAATAGTAGGATCGAGTCTTTAAGATACACTATATATGTATATATATATACTTATATTTATGGAAAGCACATCTACGTGTAGTGTAATTAATATACATTTAACCTCTGAAAACTAAATGATAAGATAACATGCAGAAGAAAGAACAAATAAATATCGATTTCTATGTCAGTGTTAACAGTTATTACTTGATCTAAAAATTGTTGTTAACATATCTGTTTTATGGATAAAATCTGGGACAGAAGATCGTTCTGTCCCAGATAAAATAAACAGTAAATAATAAGATTATCTATAGAAAGTATTTATCACTAATGGGACTGGAATAAATATTGTTCGAGCACAATCGCAAAACAAAAACTTATTTTTTATCTTGACCATGTCACGATTTTGTGATACGTACGGCCAACTGGGCAGGTCCTAGGGCTTGAGGGGGGATACTCCGAAGAACAAATTTTCGTTCAGCGATGCTCCAAGAAGCGTTTTCCGGTGTATTTTGCACCGTTTAAAATCTGCAACTAGTGAATATTATTTTGGCATATGTAAATAAGTTTTTACAACGATCGTGCATCATAAACTTAATTAAGGGTAAAAGGTTGACTTTTAAAGATCGTATATGGTAAGGACAGTTGTCATATATTACGTGCAAGAACAGAAGTACGAAGATTGTGTTCACACGATGGTTAAAGCTAATCAATGGTCAATGTTAGTTTAGTAAAACTGCCGTGTACACGCAATTTAATGATAAGATTGTTCAAAGGCAGGTCTGTACTTATTCTTGTACTCTTCGTAGGTTATATTACAAATGGTTTGTTGGTAATATTACAAATGGTTTGTTATGTGCACCGGAACTGGTAAACCTCCGGAACTGGTGAAAACAATCAGATTAAATGAAGCGGTATTCTTATTAGAAAAAAAGGTTTGAAGTGGAATCAAATATCTACAAGCAAGTACATTTGGTCTTGAAACAATTTGATAATTTGTATGTAGACAGCGAAAGTTGAAAACCTGTGTCGGAACCGGTCAAACAACTGTACGTATTTTAATGTCTATTTGAATACAGACTTTTTTTATGTAAACATTTGTACAAATAAATATAAAACAGGGTCTTTCAAACAATTTCTATTTGAAAGACCCTGTATAAAACAAAAGAAAAAGAAGAAAGAAAAAAAGAAAACTTGTTAATCAACGGTCATTGGTCAAAACTAGACTTTTTACATTTCACGGACATATCGTATGCTTGTACCACGAGTGTTAATTGCCATTCATGAATCCATAACACATTAATTTCAAGTACGAAAATATCTAAAAGAAATTCTGTAAAATATCTAAACACCCCATTAGGTGCCCCCATAATAAAAAATAGCCTTCTATACGGGAAAACAACCTACTGTTAAATATAGACTAAAATAAACAGTGTTTTGCCTCCCTTGGTTAGAAGAAAATTTCCGCGGGTTTTCCCATTTCTGTCATTTTGCTTTTATTTCAAGATTTGTTCATTAAAAATGTCAACAACACATAGCTCTAGCTTATATTTATTGACTAATTATGAAATTTGAATGATTATTAGCAACTTTTGAAATGTCGTCTGTAATCGCTGGCAAAGGGGGCAAAACTTGTCTTAATTTGTGCCTAATGGAGTTATCCTTTGCGCATGCCGCAACAGTAGCACGTGAAATCCCTCATTGCGAAAAAATGTAAAACACACCTGCTTGTAAAAATATAAAGGTGAGAACGATTATGTTTAATGTTTATTTTAGACTGAAGAAATTCTGTCGAACGTTTCCTTGAATAATATTGTTCTGAAAAAAACTCACCTTCAATTTTGAAGAGTTTCAGTAAACAAAAATAACCGTATTGTCGGATACTACTAGCCGACGGATACTGCTTCGATACCAGTACAACTCAAATTTATTATGCAAGATTTACTGACACAACCCGGGATATAATACTTTAGACAAAAAATTTAGCTGAGGAAGAAAAATAAAAGATTGCAGAGTAATTTTTAGCCTAAATTGGAAAAATGGGGCTATACCACTCACCATTGTTATTGCATGCAACTTTGTATCTGGTCAACCAATTAAAGGTACCGTAAAATTCCTATTAAACACCTGGGGGGGGGGGGCATTTAAGAATAAATCCTTTTTCCTAAAAACAAAAATGATTGTAATTATGTTTGGTGTTATGTAAGTTTTCTTAATAATGTTTAAAAAGTGTTAAATTTTATATGATACATTTTTGAGTTTACTATAAAATAAAAGGTATTCTGAAGGATTTGAATAAATGATAGATTTACTCTTCCTTATCAAAAAAACTTAGGGTTTGTGGGAGAGGGGTGTTTAATAAGAATTTTACTGTATTCACTTTAATATCTGGTATTTCTTGTTGCTAATAAAGACAAATAACTTGAACATTAGCTTTTACTGAATTATTCCCCATTGTTAACTTATAAAATTCCTACATTATCAAGGCTTTTATTCTAGAACAAATATAAATCTAGCAGGTTGCCCATCTAGCAGCTCTTGTGTTAGTAATGTTACTATGTTACACAGAGTTGAATTAGATTTTTGTCCTAAATGATGTTTCAGCCATGATAAATAATTTATGTTTGTTTATTTCAGAATATAAATGCAGTGCTCAAGATTACAAGATGTGGTCTTTACCGGACAACGTGTGGTCTTTACCGAACCACAAACCTTTCTTAGGTTGGTTTATAATTATCTGTAACACTTTTGAAAATTTAATTCACAAATCTCCATATAATCTACTGAAATTCAGGTCATTAGATAGATATTGTCAGCATGCCCACTCAATTTTAAATGTAGGGGTACATGTACCCCCTGTCATTGAAAATTGGGGGTACATTTCAAAATCTGGGGGTACACATAAGTTTAAACATGTTTTTGTTTGTAAGAACATTTTATATAAATGTAGTATAATATAGTATAATTATTGTTTTGTTTTGTTAATATTTTTCATGAAATTATTTCATTTTAATGCATCAACACATGGAAATCGTTTGTTTGTTTGTTTTTTTTTTTTTCACCTTTATACCAAATCAAATTTTATTCTGGTTAAATAAGTCCACTCTATAGACAAAAAGTTTATATTTGTAAAAAAAAACGTAAATGTATATAGGCAGCGTTTAGCGGAATGAATAGGAAAATCGTGTACAGCTTCACACAGTGTGTTAGATTCATCCGATCGACAATTATTTTAGCAAATATCTTCAAAATGGGGGCAAATTGAAGATCGATATTTAAAGATTTAATGCTGATTTAATAATAAAGTAACAATTCATTCTCATGTTTGGCTTGGAAACTGAAAATTTTTGCGAAATTTTAGGGTTTCTGAAATTCCGGCGAACGTGAAATCGCCGATGTTCGGGATCAATTTTCGGATCAAAGAAAAGCGTACGTGTATTTTTGTTAGTTGTCCTGGCATTTCGGCACAATATGTTAAATTATTAAAACTCTTATAGAACGTTTTTGCAAGAATGAAACAAAAGCAAAATTTTGCTTAGAAAGTGCCGAAAATTTCGAGAATAATTCAAAATTACACTCATTTGTAATTTGAGAAAACAGTCTTTAAACTTGTGGCGTAAATAGTTGATATTCTTATCCTTTTGTCGGTAAAATTTGCTAATTTCCAATCAACTGTTGATCAAAGATGTTAAATTATCACCTCGTGTTATATCTGATAATTACATGTACAGCGCGTGTATACATTAGTCTGATCTCTATTGCGTGATAATGATTGAAAGTGTTATCGCTGATTGGCTAATCCCTTCACGGGTCGATGTGCATAGGACCGCCTACCTATAGACTGACACGCGCTGACGTATTTGTGTATTTGTGGTCGTTTGATGCTTCACCAGGCAAAATTAAGTGTACATAGGCTATCCCAAACATTCATTCTGACGATTTTACTTTGCGTGCATGTACCCCCTGCTTACGATTTTTATGCGTGCATCTAGAATTTTGTGCGTGAATTACGCACTGAAGTGCGTGAATGGGCATGCTGATTGTAAGAAAAAATATCATCTGGTGTCCTAGATTTGATCCTGTTCTTGATTCCACAACTGACACCAAAGTCTTCTGTGATGAATATCATGAGAGATCAAAATTTTAATTTAATGTTTTTAAGTTTATTCATTTTGTATCTGGTTATGAGAGATTAGCTTTTGCTTTGACATGTTCTAGTAAGGAGCCAGTTCAGCCTGACAAGGATTTTTTCTGTTGGCTGACTAACTTCATATTTTAGTATTGCTATCCCTAAAGTTAATTGATAATGGAATGTTCAAAAGATGGAAGTAAGAAATTCATTTGGTTAAAGGATGAAGCCTAAGCCAATGTAAAAGTTTTTTTTTCCTTAGAGAACTGTATTAACATGTATTATATTTAAGGTTGTTTACTGGGCCGTAAAGTTATGATTGAAAGACGTGTACCACATTCTAACTGCTACAACGGTAAAGATTACAATCGGGAAATGACTGTACGAAACTGTTCATGTACGAGGGAAGATTTTGAATGGTGAGTTATTGTGTTTGTTATTTTGTTGACATGTTAACATAAATTACATTTCTTTTACCTAAACAATATTACACAATCAACTCTAGCTATACTGCCGTGTGATTCTTCTTTTATAATAAACTTTCTTTGTTAACGTAATGTCGCAAGCTGTATAGAGTATGAAATCTAGAATTCTGGCTTGATGTTCATATTTCTTCATTTGAAACTCACCATATTTTCATCAGAAAACATATGTCTACAATAAATTAATATAACTTTTGGTAATTACCGACATTTCTCTCTTATTTTTCTATTTCAGTGACTTTGGCTACAAACCAAATTCCGAGTATTTCAGTGTTGGATGTATTCCAGACCCTGATGTAGATCAAAACATTATCCACCGCATGCCTAGTGTATGCCCTGAAGGCACATTTTACCCATACACTCGTGGCTTTGCTAAGGTTTCAGGTGATACATGCCAGGGTGGCGAGGAACACAGATATGCCCCTCTAATGTATGCTTGCAGAGCTCAAGGTAGGCTGCTTTATTGTCTGCTGCTGAATAGAGGCAGGATATTTTTTTGCATTGAGAATTTTAACAATTAAGTCAAGAGTACTGATGGTGGTTCTATCAGTTTTAAAGAGCAGTTGTAGGTAATAAAAGATTAATACTGTATAATTGGTTAAGTTTTATAACATGAAAATATTGGTGAATTGTGAGAATCAACGAAAATTGCTAAAATTTTCTCTAGCATTAATATCAACCAATCTGTCTTTATTTTACCCTTGCACGATTGGCTTATATTTCCTCCACATTATGTCTGGAATTTTGAATTAGCTAACTTTTTTTTTGATACGTGAAAATATGCACTTATACAATACTAAAAGAGATAACAATACCTTTAATTCTTCTTATTTCAAATTTTCTTTAAAAAGGTAGATATGCCAGATTTATCAGATAGTTAAAAGCTTTAGACATTTTCAAAATACCATGTGCTGAAAGTTTGATAAAGAACAAAATAGATGATAAAAATGAGCAAGTCTTATTAAAAGATATGAATAATATTTCATAGTTTTGTAGATTAAAAGATATGAAAAATATTCGGTAGTACTTTAGATTAAAAGATATGAATTATATTTCATAGTACTGGAGATTAAAAGATATGAAAAATATCTCATAGTTCTGTAGATTAAAAGATATGAATTATATTTCATAGTTCTGTAGATTAAAAGTTATAAATAATATTTCATAGTTCTGTAGATTAAAAGATATAAATAATATCTCACATTTCTGTAGAATCTAAGCATTTTGTCCTATATTTAATTCAGATATAGAAGAATTTTTGCTATATTCCTCGAGGAGAGCGGTGGTTCAGAAAATATTCTCCTCTGGCCAAAATGACGTCACACTTCTCGATTCCACCATAGCGAAGAATGTGTCTGCAGTAGATTACCAGCTGGGTGAAACAGGATGTCTGTATTGGGCAGATAATGAGCTACATAAAATACAGGTACAAGGTTTCCTCTGACATATTTTGATATGAAGGGACCGAAAATATTTTTTTTCTGATCAATAGCTTGTGTACAAAATTTCAGATCATTAGCTCATTCCACTTCAAAAGGTTGAACAATTTTATAGCGCATATTGACTAATTTAATGAGAATAAATTTTATCACTGAAATTTTTTCCTTTAATTTGACATTAGCGGCTGTGTGAAGATGGTAACCATAGTGTGGAAATGTTACATTCGGGAATCGGTGAAGTTCCGTCCATAGCGTACGACTGGAAAAGTCACAACTTGTACTGGTTTTCGACGGGGCAGTTCCCCCCCATGAGGTGCCAACTAAGGGAATTACAGAAACGTTTTTAAATGGCTTTTATCCCAAACTTTGTAATAGTCCCCATCGGGGGTATGATGACCCCACATTTAATTTCTGTTTTCTGTTTTGTTTTTTTTTAAAATTAAGTTTTTTAATAATATACAATTGGGAAATTTTTATTTTGAATTTAAAAAAAGCGGGTATTTTCTTTTTTTAAGGTTTTTCATAGCACCCATTACTTTATAGAACTGTAAAATTCCATAGCAACTAGTGACTTCCATAGCAAACATTATCTTATCTACTATTGAATTTCATAGCAGGCACTGACATCCAAGGCAACCATTTATTTTGTACATGCAGCAACCAGTGACTTCTTATGGAACTGTTGTTTTCCCTTAGCAAAAGCAGCCAATAATGTTTTTACATGTGCACTATTTCAGATACAAATATGAACTTTGTGATATCAGTTTTAGATTTAGATTTTACATCTGCTTTTGTTTATAGTTTACAATATTGCTTGTTTCTTGTCTTAGAGAGAATCAATATTCAGGTGAGCAATATTAGGGCCATCATGGCCCTCTTGTTAATGATATATCCTTTGTTATAAAACAGGTGGATGTATTGGGCAGACAGTGGAAAGTTAATGAAAGCCTATATGGACGGCACCCACTCCTCTATCTCCACGTTTCTCAGTCACAGTACTATAGGTTCAGACACTGTCTTGGCTCTAGATATACTCACTGAAAGAATCTTCTGGAGTGGTGCTGGAATCAGATATGCATCTTTAAGGAACCCAGTGGTGAACTCGGTGGGAAATTCTTTAGAATGGTTTCACATTGATGCCTTAGGGATATATAAGGTAATTTGTTATTTGCTTTGTTAACCCTCTGTCTGCAAGTTGTGATAATGATATGTGTATGGTAGTGTTGGTAATTTTGACTCCAAATCATGGCAGTAAGTCACATTAAATTTACTGGAGCACAGTTCAGCCACAACATCGTTCCTGGGCAGGCAGTACTATTTGCCTTCACTTTTGCCAGGAACTGATAACTTCTATACATGCCAGAGCAGAGGTATAGTGTGAATGACCGTAGAAAATGATTTCATGATCAAATATAACGAAAGTGAGCTGAACCATCCAGGAATCGAACCGACTCACAGACCAACACTCCTCCTATTGAGCTAACCAGGCGATCTAAGCTGAAGGATTAGCATTTACGCTCCTTTAACAGTTTCTGGAATTCAATGGAGAGTTTCAAATTTAAATCCGTATACAGTTGTAGTATGGAAAAGGCTAGTTGTTATTGTCAAAATGAATTTAAAAAGTGTTAATGCTTAGTTGTGAAAATGTCAGCCTATTAACTATTCCAGAATTTCAGGATTTAATAACTCTGAAAAGTTCTTTTTCTCTGTATAAAATTAATGAAAATAGTACTTGATTCAGGTTTTTTGGTTTTTGACATTTTTAACGTTCGTCCTTGTCATAACTAAAACAATAATTCTGGTATGTAATCTAGTGCTGTAATAGCTTTTATTATATGATCTAAATATAGCTGCAATCTCATTGGTCCAAACAGTAGTCAACAGAACTTTTTATAAAATCATATTTACTGGGTTGGTATCATATTCACTGGCTGAATTGGATTTTCCCAGTCTAAAAATAGATTGAGACTCATATTCAATGACCATACAACCTTTGACTGTTAATTACGCGTGTTAATGCCAAAAAAATATTGTTGCGTTTTGTTCTTTATGGCATATTTCTCGATTAAAATGTCATTACTTTACTATTTTACTTAAAGGCTACAGCGCAATGATGAGTATAAACTTGAATTACTTTTGTATGCGCAGCGTTCAAGTACTCATTGCATGCCTAACATGTGTGTCTTTTTTTCCCGCGCTTCAACGAGGCAAAATGTGTACATGTATATAAGGTTGTACTTTTTGTGATTTTTTAAAATTCTTAGCCTTTTCATATAAAAAAACATTAAATGATTTTGTGAGAAATGAATATGATTGTTTTCCCGGCAGAAAGTCATTTTGACCTGGGCATCGCCTCGGTCAATATGTCATCTGCCGGTGAATATCACATCATATTCAATGGCTCACAAGTCAATAATTGTATAATACTGAATAGATAATGTTTATTGTTTACAGGATTGCCAGGAATATCAAATATATTGATGAAATATTCTATTTGAATGGCAGAGAAGTTGCATTTTTGAAAAGAAATTTAAGAAATTTTAAGAAAAATAGTTACATGTAAATTAATATTTTCTGTAACTTTGAGTGAGTGTATTAGCAAGTTAGTAACAACTTTATTTAATGAGGCTAACACATTCGGTTTCCTGATCTTCCATGCGGGCCTCAGTAAATACAAAACAACATAAAATAAAATCACAATCAACATTTACACAACATAAATATGTACATGATAACAACATATCAATACAATCAATAAGTAAACAATTTTTTTTCTTCTTATATAGGGAAGTGACATTTTTATAACTTCAGCATAGAAAGTACCAACAAAGTAGGTCAGTGTTGATCAATTAGACATTTATAGGGCTGTTCTATTAACAGTGTACATTATAGTTTTATATTGGCTTAGAAAATTAATTAGAAATACATAATTTAACAATATATATATAATATATTTTCATTATCAGGAGAAAGTGTATTGGGCAGAGTATACAATGTCTCGATTATATAGCTGTGACGTTTCAAACTGTGTGTACAGATACCAAGATATCAACGATGGAATCATTGACCTCAAAATCCTAGATGAGAACTCACAAAGAGGTAACACACATTTATTATCTTTACCTTTTAACTGCTGAACTTGAAATAATTAGGGTAAGCTTAATGTCAATATTTTCATATTATGTAAAACCAGCAAGGTATAAGGAATCAAATGGTATACAGATACCCTATGTGTTGCAGATTCTAAATGTTATCCAGACACCCTATGTGGTGCAGTTTCCAAATGTTATCCAGATACCGTATATCCAAATGATATCCAGATACCTTATGTGTTACAATTTTCAAATTGGATCCAGATGCAGTTTCCAAATGGTAACCAGATACCCTATATGTTACAATTTTCAAATTGGATCCAGATGCAGTTTCCAAATGGTAACCAGATACCCTATATGTTACAATTTTCAAATTGGATCCAGATGCAGTTTCCAAATGGTATCCAGATACCCTATATGTTACAATTTTCAAATTGGATCCAGATGCAGTTTCCAAATGATATCCAGATACCCTATATGTTACAATTTTCAAATTGGATCCAGATGCAGTTTCCAAATGGTAACCAGATACCCTATATGTTACAATTTTCAAATTGGATCCAGATGCAGTTTCCAAATGCTCTACTACATATACATTCTTCCAATGAGCAAACACATTCGGCAGGGGATGGCCATGTTGACATGTCTCTTGTCAAATTGGATCCAGATGCAGTTTCCAAATGGTAACCAGATACCCTATATGTTATAATACCATAATGTTATCCAGATATCCTATGTGGTACTCAGATAACCTTATGAGTCACATTTTCAAAATAGTATAATGGTATAAAAGTGCTAATTCACAAAAGGCCAAAAACTAAAATCAGCAAAAGATAGTTTAGCAATGAGGCCATAATAGCATTTTATTTGGGTTTAATGAGCATTAATGTGTTGTATTTTAAGGTGGTAATGCAGCATGTGACCACAATGGAGGATGCACCCACCTTTGTCTCCTGAAACCATCAACCGCTGACGGACATGGCAAAAATCGCACATGCCGGTGTCCGAATAACGCTACACTTACCCGCACCTCCACCACACAGGAGGATGAAGGTTGTTGTGTGGGTAAAGCTGTAGTAAATGTTAGTTCTGGCGCATGTGTGAAGGTAAAGACAAACTGTACTGACAATCAGTTTTCATGTGACAACGGACATTGTATACCGAATTCTTATATGTGCGATCGTGACAATGACTGCGGTGATATGAGCGATGAACATGATTGTGGTAATTCATATATTATTTTATGTACATAATGTTTAATTCATTGTCTGGTGCTGTGCACTTTTTACATGAAAGTTTTCTTGCAATAATACTAAAATTTACATTTATATTAAGCACAAAAATCTGCAGGTGTGCTTTTTATACTTCTTAAAAAGTTGTGCATTTCCTGTTTACAATTTCAGTTCTGACTAGGCAATTTGCACAATTATTGCCTTTTGTTTGAATTCTTTTGTATATCTTGAACTACCAATGCCAATAAAGGATGGAAATACAATTTTTTTTTCTCACAGAATTCCAGACATGCTCCGACGGTCATTTCACCTGCGATAATGGACGTTGTATTCCTGAAGACTGGATATGTGACTTTGATAATGACTGTACCGATAATTCCGATGAGATGCACTGTTGTAAGTTTTTCATTATGTAGTTTAAGAAATAATATATCCAAAACAGTGATATAATAATGTGCATCCAAACGATAAACAGTGATTTTATTTAGCCATAAAATCACTGATTCGGATAGATTTTTTCTATTCTAACGTGACATCAACAAATAAATGCTTCCGTACCTGGTATCAAGCTTAATTGCACTTGATTTGTTTCTGTATTTATTTTCAGCGTGGAGCATTTTTAATGGTTATGTTATATGTTTAATGTTTACACCATACATGTATGTCTAAATATAGAATGTCAACAGTGATTTGATTGCATAATAACACACACTTTCGGTCCTTGTATTTTCAATAGGGAAAAATGGGGGTCTTATTAGAATTTACCATTTTATACAGGTTTTTCTTTAGGATAGATAGAACCAGAATGGTTCAAGTAGGAAAGTTTAAGTTGAGGCATTAAGTTTATTTTCCGTTCTAATAATATGTTCTAGAAAAAAAAAAACGATAGTGAAAATGTTTTAAAATAAGGAAAGAAAAAGGATTAAAGGACAGCTTATACATAATTTGATAAATTATTTATTATCTTGAGACAGAGATTTTGTGTTGAAATGATTATTTGCTAGTGTTGACATGAATAAGATGACATGTTGGGGTTTACATACAGATGTTACTTCTTATTTCTTTAATTATTAAATGTTTATATATCTGTTATGACAGTATTTCATGGATAAATGTAATATATCTGTTTTTGACAGCAGATCATGGATAAAATGTTTATATATCTGTTTTGACAGCAGATCATGGATGAAGTGTTTATATATCTGTTTTGACAGCATATCAGAGATTAAATGTTATATATCTGTTTTGACAGCAGATCATGGATAAAATGTTTATATATCTGTTTTGACAGCATATCATTGATGAAGTGTTTATATATCTGTATTGACAGCATATCATGGATAAAATGTTTACATATCTGTTTTGACAGCATATCATGAATAAAATGTTTATAATAATATCTGTTTTGACAGCATATTGTGGATTAAAATTTTTATATATATCTATTTTGACAGCATATCCCTCATGTCCTGTAGACAAGTTTTAAAATGTCGTGATGGCAGATGTATCAATTTAAGTTGGAAATGTGATTTTGATGATGACTGCCCGGATGGTTTGGATGAGGAAAACTGTAACTACAATAGTAGGTTGAAGATTTTATAACTTTTAACCTTCTGAATTCAGAAGTGACCAGCCTTGGACACCTGTATAGAATCAGGCTAGCCTGAACTTGGGTGCTGTCTAACCGAGGCTCTATTCTATTGGCTGACTTCATTTTTATATGCCCAAAAGAATTGCGGACATATTATGTTTTACCCCCTGACGTCTGTCTGTCTGTCTGTCTGTCGGCACTACCAAAAAGGGATAGGAGGCCATCTAACTGTAAACAGACCAAAAGAGAACCATAGTGTTCATTCCGTAACAATAGAGTAAGGGGCCATTGGCCCTCTATTAAACAAAAGAAAATAACAAAAGAAATGGCCCCTTATTCCATTTCGTTTTTGAGTTTTTGTTTATTCATTTAAGACTAACATTTTTTGGGCATATAATGATTCGCATAGCGGTGCTCTTGGTTTTTTTTGCATCTTCATATCCTTAAAATTGATAAGGGAAGTCCATTTAAATTTATGAAATTCAGCAGTTAAAGGGATAAGCAATCAATGCAACACTGAAACAAATCTCTGCATATTTAAAGATACATACCCTCATACATAATATAATGTTGCAATGGTTTAAAATAGCAACAGGATTTATTAAGTGCCAAATCTTTAGTAAGCAAGTATTTCTTGATCCAAGTATTGTATTAATCATCTAGTTTAATGTAAACATTTAAACCTGTGATGTAATTTTTTCTTTTGATGACATTTTATTAGAACAACTATTTAAAGAATGGGGAGAGCTATTGTACTCTGTCCGCTTTGCTGTGTTACTTTGTTTGGGGTTTTTTGCGTGCAAGTTGCTATCTCAAAAAATAAAGAAGGGAATGGGTTGAAACTTTACACACTTAATCCCTGTAATAATCTTACATGAGTGGCACAGATCCCATAACTCTTTGGGTTACCTTTTTACAGAGTGATGCCCCTTTTCTTACTGTCAAATGTTAAGAAAATGTCTGTTTAAATAGGTACAGATTGTGGCGAGGGTCAGTTCAAATGTTTGTCAGGATCGCCAAGATGTGTTCCCGATTATCAGGTGTGTGATCACAGAAATAACTGCGCTGACGGATCTGACGAGAAAAACAACTGTAGTATTACGTGCCCGTCGTGGAAAAGTTCATGTGGTGATGGAAGTTGTGTGTATTTGTCATGGGTGTGCGATGGCGACAAGGACTGTAGCAATGGAAATGACGAGGCAAATTGCACTAGTAAGATCAGTATTTTTATGAATGGAAAGATGTACAAAATCTCTTCTTCTATTTTAATAATAGACTATAGTTTGTTTTCCTTATGCCATTGCATTGTTAAAAGGTTTTTTAGGTATAAAGTACAAAAAGTAATTCTAAATATTTATAATATTCGATTATTAAGAAGAGAAGAAACTCACTAATTAACCTTAATTTTCGGAAATGAAACACGAAAAAACAGAGATTTCTTTTTTAAGTTTTGTTAAAAAATTGCATGAAATTCGAATGATTTATGATTGCATGTAGGGAGATGGCGTGTTGGTAAAGTTTCTGCTCTGATAAATTTGAACCATTGGCTCAAGTCTGACTAGGTTAGAATTTCATATATGTACAATTTTTTTAGTTGCGAGAAATATCTTAAAAGTGATTTTAAAAATCTTGTTTTCTTATTATTCAAACTGAAGTTTTTAGATACAGACTGTACCTCTTTTTCTGTATGTATTTGTTGCAGGTACAGTATCACCTGTTACAGCACTTCCAACAACTTCAGGTCCTTGTACAGGGTTTGTTTGTGATAATGGTATTTGTATAAGAAATGGTTTGAGATGTGATGGAATAGACGACTGCGGAGATAATAGCGATGAATATAGATGTGGTAAATATATTAAAATCATTAATGAACACTGTGGTAGATATATTACAATTATTCATGAACGCTGTGGTAGATATATAAAAATCATTCATGAATGCTGTCATAAATATAATACAATAATTCATGAACACTGTCATAAATGTATTAAAATGTATTATTTGGCGTAAGACTTGGTTAATATTTTGTGGGCAGCTAAACTATTAGATGATGGAAAGGATCAACTAATAAACTTTTACCCCTTACAAATACTATAGATAATTTTTGCATGGATTTAGTTTTACCATCAAGCATGAATTATAGATTTAGAATGAGCTGTCTTTGTGGTAGTTCTTGATGAAATTAGTTTTACACTATTTTTCAATAATGTAATAAGTTTTATACCATTTTTCCATAATGTAATAAGTTTTATACCATTTTTCCATAATGTAATTAGTTTTATACCATTTTTCCATAATGTAATTAGTTTTATACCATTTTTCCATAATGTAATTAGTTTTATACCATTATTCTATAATGTAATTAGTTTTATACCATTTTTCCATAATGTAATTAGTTTTATACCATTTTTATATGGGGCATATTATGTTATACCCCCTGGCGTCCGTCTGTCTGTCCGTCCGTACGTACGTCCGTCCGTCCGTTAGCAATTTGGTTTCCGGAGCATAACTTAAGTTCCATTTGGCCCACAATGTTCAAACTTCAGAGGTTGATTGTCCATATTGGGTAGAAGACCCCTATTGATTTTGGGGTCACAAGGTCAAAGGTCAAGGTCACTATTACCTTGATACTGAAAACAGTTTCCGGAGCATAACTTAAGTTCCAAATGACCCACAATGTTCAAACTTCATAGGCTGATTGTCCATAGTGGGTAGAAGACCCCTATTGATTTTGGGGTCAAAAGGTTAAAGGTCAAGGTCACTATGACCTTAAAACTGAAAACAGTTTCCAGAGCATAACTTAAGTTCCATTTGGCCCACAATGTTCAAACTTCATAGGATGATTGTCCATATTGTGGTGAAGACCCCTATTGATTTGGGGTCACAAGGTCAAAGGTCAAGGTCACTATTACCTTGATACTGAAAACAGTTTCGGGAGCATAACTTAAGTTCCAAATGACCAACAATGTTCAAACTTCATAGGCTGATTGTCCATAGTGGGTAGAAGACCTCTATTGATTTTGGGGTCAAAAGGTCAAAGGTCAAGGTCACTATGACCTTAAAACTGAAAACAGTTTCCGGAGCATAACTTAAGTTCCATTCGACCCACAATGTTCAAACTTCATAGGATGATTGTCCATATTGGGTATGAAGACCCTATTGATTTTGGGGTCACAAGGTCAAAGGTCAGGTCACTATTACCTTGATACTGAAAACAGTTTCGGGAGCATAAACTTAAGTTCCAATTGACCCACAATATTCAAAATTTCTTAAGATGATTGTCCATATAAGGTAGAAGACCCCTATTGATTTTGGGGTCACAAGGTCAAAGG